AAATTTTAAACACCAACATAATCCTGAGGCATGTATCTGTGTTACGTATGCACATGCAAGAAATGTGAGAGAAATATCTGCTTGGTGCTCTAAGATCATGTAGGCAAAATCTACTACATTTTGTTTTCCTTTTTTAAAGTTGCTTTGTGTGTTTTACTCAGACTAATTCAAAGGTCACTTATGAAATTCTTGCCTTTGTCAGACCCTGGGCAATTCCATGCAGATATATCTTATATGGACACAATGGCATTTAGACAATATTGGCTCGTTTTCTTTGGAGTTTATTGCTAAATGCAATAAAGCAAGCCAAATGTGTTCCTTTGGGAAGGTGTTACTTCAAGTTAAGTTCTTTTTAAGGCACGAAAGCCTAGTATCCCACTAATGGAAAATGTTACCTCATTGAATTCTGATAGCTTGACTCTAGGAGACATTGTAGTCATCATCATCATCATGGTCATCTTTATTACCATAGATAATATTTATTGTGCTTATTATTTTCCATATAATACAAAGGTTTTCATGTATTACTTCATTTACAATTGTAATAACCATATGACAAAAGATGTTTATTACCATCAACATCATCCCCATTTTGGAAATAAAACCAAAATTTGAGATGTTAAGGAACTTGTTGAAAGTTAAACAGCTACTAAGTGGCAAAGTCAGTCATTTAAACGATCTACAGTCCAAATTTCATAACCTCATGTGGAATGCACTGTCTGGTTGTGTGTGTCTCTCTCCAGGGCAGCCTTGTGGCCATGCCAATCATCATTTGCCCACCCAGGATCTTTCCTTCTGGTCGGATAGCAAGGCTTTACTGCTAAGGGACATATTTCTCACAGCCTTAAGAGGCTAAGGTGGATTAAACTAAGCCATCAGATCTTTGCAGGCTTGTAAGAACCTTTCAGATCACTGGGCTTTATAAAATAAAGTGTGAAAGGTGCATTTGGACACTTTTATTTATTTCATAATGCTATAAAACTAGAGATGTAGGTTATTTTAAACACTCTGGATTCTGGTACACTTGTGAATTATGGAAACCACTGTAGAATTTTCTCCTAAAATATTCAGTCCAATCTAGTATTTTTATAGGCTTCATGCCAAAAATTTTAGTACGCACATTAAATTAATAAAACCCCTTTCTGACATCATTTTTCTAACATGAGTCGATAGCTGAAGTTTTTATTTTAGTTTTATTGGCTTTCTTCATAGTCTCATTTCCATTATTCCTTGGAGATTTGCCTATTGTAAATTAAACTTGAACTCTGGGTAACTGATAATTGTTGAGGTGACAGTTTCCAGTAACTGGGTTCTGCTGGGAAACAAGAAATTCCTATGGCTTTTAAAAATAGGTTGACCCTGTGGTTTTGGAAAAATCTTAATTGAAGACAAGTATTTTAGTCTTCAACAAACAAGACAAAATAAAAGCCAGAGTTGCGGAAGTCTAGAACTGAAGGATAAATCAGTGGTGTATTGTAAGAAACCAATCAATAACCCAATTTGCTGTTAATTAAAAGTTTTCTCTGATCAAGTAGGTCAGGCTTGACATGTCAAATTTACATCTTGGAATTATAATGTTCTGTTCAGAGAAAAAATGATTTTTGAACCAACTGAAGGCCAAATTATATAAATTTGCAACTAATAATAGAAACTGATTTTTAATTGTTTTAAGTTTAATTTTATTAAATATACTCTCAAATTACAATTTATTTTGTTAATATTCCTATATAACTAAGCATGAGTCAATAATTATGAGTTACTTTCATTCTCTAGGAATAATACAGCACATAAATGGTTTAAGTGTATTATACATACTTTAATTTGCCTGAAAAAGTTTGCTTATCTCCATTGAGCAAGTCAGCGTAACATAAAAGAAAAAGATTATGAATTTACCGTGATATAAGTATATGAAACAACCCAAATTATAAAATGCAAGATGTGTATCAGTCCTGTTTTGGCTCTGTTGTAATAATGAACTGATTTATATGTCAGATGATATCAAAGTTTGTCTTATGTCCCTCTGGGAAAACGTTAAGACCACTCATTTAGCTATTTAATTTCTTTGCATTTAATATTTATTTCTGTTTCTGTATAAGGCACTATAATAGATATAGTAGTGCAATCTTGGAACTGTTTTAACCCTAGCCAGCGTTTATTCAGTACTACCTTCGCACATTATTTCTGTGAGAGACCTAGACTCCAGCATTATGAAGAATATTTTTCAAAGCCATCTATAACTGTGTATGTTTCATATATGAGCCTCACAGAGCTGAACATTCTGAAACATGGCCTAAAACCAACCAGTTCAGGATCATTTAGCAAATTTTCTAGGAACATTTCACTTAGAAGTCTCCAGTGTGTATTTGTTACATGGATCTCGTATTGTAATTATCAATGTAAAGTTAACTTTGCTTTAATGAAGTCCTGATTTAAAGTAATAATTTGCTTAATGGAGACTTCAGATGAAATATTTTGCTTCTATGACTGCACATTGTGTTTCAAGTTATTTTATGTCATTGTATTTGTTTTTATGTAAGACCATGTAAATACACTAATAAGAAGAGAACTCTAAAAATACACATCTTTGAGAATGTAATTTACCTTAATTTTTAAATCATGCCTATTTCAAGGAATCACTTTATTTTTTCCTTTCCCCAGAATTATAGCTAAGGAAGAATGGTACACTTAAAGAAGTGAAAAACACCAGAAGAATGAGGGGATAGCAATCATCTCTGTGGATTTGGCATCTGGAATTTTAGTTAGTTCATTAACTCTTCCACGGGGTGGCAGTAATATAGTGTGGAATAGGAGGAATGAAACTATCTAAAACTCCAAGTGGAAAGTTAGGATATAAAAATAATCAAATTTCACCAATTCATTGTGAATGAGACCTCCATGGAGGTCTCCAGGGAGGCCAACGATGGGGGTCAGGCAAAACTTTTGTAGTAAAACAAATAAAACAGCAAGTTTTGTTGTTGGTGGTGTTTTACTAGTATGTTTTTTGGCTGAGTTGTGTTTATTTGGACTATTTGATGAATAACATCAGTCAAAATAATCACATGGTGTGTGTCTAAGTGTAGCCTCTATGTTATTAGAAATGCTTGATTTCTAGGGATGTAGATATAATAATTCATTTAGTCTTATTATTTATTTCTTTGTACTGAAAAGTATTCTATGGAAAACATTTTACTGGAACGCTGTCGTGGTAAGAGGAGCGACCAGACAAAGCAATGCTTTAAACTGAAAGTGTGAGACATGCTTTCAAATGTTAATTATGAAAGCCATCCCCAAGTGCTTTCTGGAGCATCTTGATTGTTTCCCTGCCCTGAATTCACTTGACAGTTTTTTAAGGTATGGCAGTTAAATTGAATTGTTAGTAGGGTTGCCAACCTGTTTATAAAAATATTTCCATTTAAGAGTAAATTTTACGATTTAAGTAGTGACGCTACATTGAAATACATAGCCCCCAATATGAACCAATTGAAGATTTTAAGGAAATGAGACTGCATTTTGCACTTTGAGGGATTGAGAGAGAGAGAGGTAGGTGTCACCAACTTCTGTTAAACTAGAACCAGTCATTTGTCCTTACAATTTGAGGTGATTAAAACTCTGACGTATGGCTTCTTACATAACTAGCCGAGGCAAATCCGGATGACCTAGGGTGGCTTACGTAAAACTTTACAAGTGAAACAATATCCCTGATGTACATTTTAGGGCAAGGATTGTCATGATGTGATCTTGGTGCAGTCAAGACCAGCAAAAGAACAGAGAACAGATGTGAAATCTCTTTTGAGATTTGTGCTCTGCAGTTGTGCAAAAGATGAAACAGATGAAACGGTTAGAAAATGTCAATTCAAACAGTCAGTCGACATGAATTAGGGAAAAGCTCTTAACATAGTTCAAACCAGACCATAAATTCATGGAAAAGTGATTTTCTGCATATTTATCTTTAGGAAAAAGCTAAAATGATCAACCTAGAGTACCTGTTTACTTAGATTACTAAATTGGTAAAAAACGATATAAGGGGCTTCCCTGGTGGCGCAGTGGTTGGGAGTCCGCCTGACGATGCGGGGGACACGGGTTCGTGCCCCGGTCCGGGAGGATCCCGCATGCCGCGGAGCGGCTGGACCCGTGAGCCATGGCTGCTGAGCCTGTGCGTCCGAAGCCTGTGCTCCGCAACGGGAGAGGCCACAACAGCGAGAGGCCCGCGTATTGCAAAAAAGAAAAAAAAAAAAAAACGATATAAGTCAAATAGCCATTTTATTAAATACTTATTAACATCATTGAATTTATCTTCTATGCTTTTATACTATTTAAATTCAGTGGCTTCCAATGAATATATAAATTACTGTAATTAAATATTATCTCAAATTTTTAAACATTTGCATATGATATATTAGAAACAGTCAATATTTTGATTCTTTTTAAAAATGCTAGGAGCTTAAAACATTTATCATATATGCCAGTCATCTTTTATAGAAAGTAAGTAATACGACTAACATCATAATCATACATGTGCATCCTAAATATTTCTATGACGTGAAAGTAGTGAAACCATCATTAAGTATAATGCCCTAAGCAACTAAAAGTATCGTGACCACCTGTCTATATACATTTTTACAATCGCATACCTATGAAATAGGACTTTTTTTTTTTTTGCAGTGACTAAATATGTGAATAATATATCTTAACCAAGTGAGAGAGGTGAACCTGAAAGATGCCGTTTCTACTAATGAAACCTTAGTCATGATCCTGCCACAGGATTGACATATGGTGCAGAGCACCCAAGTACTAACTTAAATTTAGTAACTGAAGTCTATATTTACAGTAGATTATGTGGTTTCTCTCTGGTGCCTTCCTGAGTGATTTAGTGGCCTCAATTTTTCTTGTCACATTAATTAACTGAAAACCATGCTTTTACATGTTTTTTTAGTTCTTTTGTTTTGCCTTTCAATTAAATTTTATACAGCCTAACAGATACCCATTTTTCAATTCACCAGGTACGTGTATTCACATTTTCAGTTGGTCAACATAATTATGACAGAGGACCTATTCAGTGGATGGCCTGTGAAAATAAAGGTAACAAGTCTGTTTACTTGACCACATTTTATTATAAGAAGAAGAATTTGGTTGTTGTTAGTTCTACATCTTATCATTTAAAATACTCTAAAGTTATAGCTAATTTTTTATAGGAATCAAGGCAAGAATAAGATACTGAAGATGTTTTGTATTAAAAAAACACACACATAAGCAACTTTGATATTAGTGTTACATTACATAAAAATGCAGACATCTGATCATATTGTACATTTATAAAGGAATATATTTTATTGCATGATACTAATGATGCTTATCAAATATAACTTGACATGAAGAATTAAGAATGAAAGAATATCTGAATTATGTAAAACTTAGATATCAGGAAGTGTGACACAATACGCACATTTTTTTCTCTGAGTGGTTAAATTATTGTTTTTTTAAATGTCTTCTTATACATTACTAGATAATTCAGACTTTGTGTAGTGAACCTATATTTCTTTTATACTCAGACCAAAAAAAATGTTATTTGAAAAATGCCACATGGCAATAAAAAGAACATAGATTTATTCTGAAAGCTATTGTTAGGCAGGTATTTTATATGAATATAATAATTGTTAGATACCCATCATTGTGTATTTTTAATAATTTCTTCAATGAAAAAAATTTTAATGATACCAGGTTCCCTACTGCTTTGTAGAAAAATAACATTTGTTTTATACAATCTATGAAATGTAGTGAGATTTCTCATAAAGCCTGTGTATTTGCTATGAGAATACATTCATCAGACATTTTACAGATTTATCAGTGGTGTTGATATTTTAGTGTTTGCTCAGTTAGAAGTGGTCAGTGTCTCCTACAAAGCCATAAAATAATTTTGTGGTCCTTTATTATATTGTAATGTTTATATGTATTAATCTGTATATATATATTTCAGGTTATTATTATGAAATTCCTTCCATTGGAGCAATAAGAATCAATACTCAGGTATGGTTTTTTAAAACTTGTTTAAAGTATTTTTTCAAACTAGGATATTTCTTTGCTGCTTTAAATATGCTCAGTATGGAGAAAATGGGTGAAAATGAATAAATGATTCATACTATTCCATTTTTAATAAAATGATGAGTATCATGGTAATGTATTGGTTTTCATTTCATTAAGGTTCCAAGTGTTTTTAAACATCCAAAACCCATTTTCTTCTCAGATGTTAAAAACATAATAGAAAGTAAATAAAATCAGTTTACTAAAAATCTCATCATATAATTTCAACTTGGTTCTATTGCAAATTATTTAAATGAGTTTCTCCAAGTTGTAGGTACAACATAGAAAATTAGACAATAATTATTACAACTACAACAAGGAGATGATTTTTCTACAACCAGTTGAAAACATGCTTGTTAAATAACCAGGGAGATTGAAGCAATTAAGTTAATTTAAATATATATTATTTTTAAATATTCCTAAATTGCTATTTAAACTCATTAATTCTAAACATAACTGAGGGTCTACAAAATAAACTAAGTCAAAATCTAGCACAGATAACATGGCATTTGTGGAAATGAATACTGAATACATTGAATTTTGAAATGAAACAGCAGCTGCATTTAAGCCTGATGTCTAGATTTGGCACAGTATTTCATGTATTCTTTGATATGTTTAAATGTAGTTTTGAATTTCAGCCAAATAATCTGTAATATGAAAACAAGTACGTGGCTGCTTTATTATTTCAAATTTGTGTAGTTCCATCCAGTAAATCACAGAGCCTTAAATAGTTTAGATTAACATAAAACAATTCACAAGGAACCTATTTCACTTATTGTTGGCTGAACCTCAGAAAGAGAATATTTTGTTACTAGAAAAAAAACTGGGGTAGATACATTGTATAAATAATGTAAGTCAAATATTGTTGATTCTAAGTACGCAGACATACCATTTATGGAGTACCCGAAGTAGGAATTGAATGATTATATGCTTAACTTTCTTAATAACTTCTTCATTTTTGACTCTAGATAATTTTTTCTCTGTGGAGTTTTTTTGGTTTTTTTTTTAGCACTGCATTTCTAGTTTTCAACCACGTAACTCTTTTTTATGTATATGTATATATAGGAATATTTGGATGTTCTGGGAAGACCAATGGTTTTAGCAGGAGACAAAGCTAAGCAAGTCCAGTGGACAAACGTATACCTGGATGCACTGGTAAGCTAGGCTGTTCAACCAAAAATTGTCATAACAAAAGCACACAGCTGGGGCTTCCCTGGTGGCGCAGTGGTTGGGAGTCTGCCTGCCGATGCAGGGGATACGGGTTCGTGCCCTGGTCCAGGAGGATCCCATGTGCTGCGGAGCAGCTGGGCCCGTGAGCCATGGCCGCTGAGCCTGCACGTCCGGAGCCTTTGCTCTGCGATGGGAGAGGCCACAACAGTGAGAGGCCCACGTACCGAAAAAGGAAAAAGAAAAAGAAAAAAAAAACAACACACAGCTGACTTCTAATTCTTTCTAGCTTCCATTTCTCTTTTCCTGTTCATGAAACCCTTTGAAAATTCCTTCTATCACAACCTTCTTTGCTAGAATTTAGATAATTTACATAAAAACATAGACTTATGTGTAGTGGAGAACCACAGATGTAAAGTGTTATATTTCCGTTGCCATTGAGGATGTAGAATTTCAAACCTCTAATCTTCAATTTAAGACCATTTTGATAACTTTTTGAATTTTTATGTAAAAAAATACTAAAGTCACATAAATTAGTACCTATTACTGCAGATTTTGAACAGGAATTGTGAAGAAGGTATTTTTAAAATAGACTTCAGCTAGCAGAAGCATGTATATCCTCCATATCTCAAACCAGACTCAACAAAACTCAGAAAAGTACATGCAGTTAAATAGAAAGTATCTTACACTACCCTGGAACAATCACAAACCTAACCACCTCTTCATATATAATTTCTTGCTTTAGATTCAATGCCAAATATTTATGGAAATAGCCATTGAAGTGATCAAATCTGGTGTGAAATAACAAATAAATGTTAATCTGTCCACTACACAATAGAAATTTTAGTACAGGTATGCCAAATTTCAAAGCAGTGGTTCTCAACTGGTGGTAATTTTGCCCCTCAGGTCATTTGGAAATATCCATAGGTATTATTGATTGCCATGACTGAATAGGGAGGGGTTGCTACTGGCATCCAATGAATAGATGCCAGGGATGCTGTTAGACATCCCACACAATGCACAAAACAGTCACACACACACCCCAACACACACACATACACACACACAACAAAGAATTATCCAGCTCAAAATATCAATAGGGCCAAAGTTGGAAAATCATGTTTTAATGTAATTTGTACTTTCCTGGTATGAAAGTTATCAATAGTAATTATCATATTTAAGATTTACTCATACACTTAACTTAATTAGAGAAGACTTTATTAACAGTTTTACTAATGTAATATATTGGAGAGACTTAAAATATTAAGCTCTGAAAAGTAAATGCTAATTCAGTAACCCCTTTTCCTACTTGGAGTTCAATTATATGCTGATACTACTTTTCTGAATGCAATGATGAACCCAAAGGGCAGAATGCAATCCATTTAGAATTACTTATCATTTGGTTCTTGTAAAATAAACATACACAGGAAGTTAGAAGAAAAATAGGCACTATTAGCAGCAGCCTTGCGTGCTGAGAAAGATAAAGTGAAGCTTGCTTACCTCAAGCCCTCGCTAAAATTACTGTCCAGTGTTCCTCCTTGACATCACATATTTATTTAAGGTCACATGGTCAACTAAATCTATGGTCAAAATGTTTCACGTATCCAAATCCATCACAGGACAAAGTATGATAGGAGGAGTCAGTAACTATGCCCTGTTGTATTTCCTGTGACCAGAAGTTCATTAACCAGCATGTCTGCCTTGTTGGTGAGGTTCTTACTGATAGCACAAATGACTTTAGGAAGAGATTTGGGTTCTAAATATGCTGTTCTACCAGCTGAAACTAAATGTAAAAAAAAAAAAAAAAGGAAACAAATGAATTGTCTAGTCAGGGGATATACAGAGCATTCATTTTACTGACTCGAGAATAAAAAGTGACCCATCTTTCATTTCTAAATATTTGTTTATAATCTCTGCACATAGCAGATTCAAAATATATGCTGGTCAAATTAACAGTTATTTTAAGAAGAAAAAGGTAAAAATAATCCAACACAAAATGTAATGAATATAATGAGAAAAACGAAGAGAGCTCTGGAAATCAGAAGAAAGAAGGCCATATATTTGGGGATAGAGTAGAGTGAGGTTAAAAAGATGGTGTCATGTTAGCTAAATATATGAGTCTAGGTAAGGTTTCTAAAATTGGTGATGAGTAGTGAAATCAGAGAAGGGAGGTGCTGTATGAAAATTGGAGAAGTGCTGGGTATATTGAAAGAATGATACCTCAGTCACTTTTGGAGATAATGGAAGATGAGAACAGAACCAAGCCTGGGACATAATTGTGGAGGGTTCATTTTATTTGGGAGACAAAGTGAGGTTCTTTATGTTAGAGAGATGAAAAGATTTGCACCCTAGAAACTAAACATCAAATAAATTCCAGGAGGCAGAAATCTTATTTTATTTCTCTTTTTTAGAGACTTGCACAGTGCCTTGGAATAGAGTACAATTTTTTTGGTCTGCTTAATGAAGGAGGGAGAAAATGGAAGACAGGCACAAATAAGTTCATAAATTTGTCTAATATGTTAGAAGACTAGTATCTCATTTGGGGAGCACATATTACCATATTGAGAAGCAAATTATGGTATTCTCTGTAAATGTAAAAGTTATGCAAAGAGGGCTTCCCTGGTGGCGCAGTGGTTGAGAGTCTGCCTGCCGATGTAGGGAACACGGGTTCGTGCCCTGGTCTGGGAGGATCCCACATGCCACGGAGCAGCTGGGCCCGTGAGCCATGGCTGCTGAGCCTGCGTGTCCGGAGACTGTGCTCCGCAACGGGAGAGGCCACAACAGTGAGAGGCCCGCGTACAGCA